CGCTGAAAGAATATGTATTACATGCATGATGCTATTTCAGCTGGGCTTTCAGATGTCTGGCGATTAAATCTTCCAGATTTGAGGAGTAACTGGAAATAATTCGTTGTAGATCTGTAAAGACACACAGACTGAAAGTGGACTCTTTGTAGCGAACGGTAAGGTTGTAGCTTGTCGTGCGTTCAGACCGAGGCGTGCATTTGAACATGGGCGTGCTGTGCCGTTAGACTCTTCAGGCAATTTGGTGTTTTGTGTCTGAGTAGGCATGATGAAAGCAGCTCTGAGACTCTAAGGGTCTTTAAATCTAGAGTTAAATGGTGTATGTCTTGCCTTTTAACTATATGGGCCTTCATTTCAGGATTTGAGTTCAAAACTGGAGACCGTTTCATTCTTTCTCTGTGACACTCACTGCAGTTCCCCCTCCACCCGCCCTCCCTCATATTTAATTTTATAGTTCTTTCAGACATAAACATGAAAAAAAGCAATTTTGACTTAGTTTCTGAGTGTTGCTGCAAAGAAAAGTAACAAACATCTGTTTTTACCTTAACTGCATCCATATGTTCAACCTCCCCATCACCCTCCTTCCCAAAAAATTTACAGCCGTATTTGGTGGGTACTGCATACTGTTGAATTAACTTTCCTCACAGTTAGATTAGAGGGTAAGTTCAGAGATTGAAAATATCCATACTAAATAGTGGCCAAAAGCTACATTATAGCTAAGCCAAGTTTTCGAGTTTTTCACTCTTCCTCTTTTAATTTGCTTCTCTATTCCTCTTCTCCCCTTCCCACCCCCCAAGAAAAGAGGAGGTGATCCAGGAGACTTTTTTAGGAACAGGTTATTGTGGTAATAAGAAAAATGTCAACTTGTGAAATTTTCTTATGGCTTTCATACTTATAAATGAATTAATGTTGGAAATACCACGTTTATCATATAAGTATGTGGTTTGAGATGCTTACTGCCTGCATTATTGTAAAGGGCTAGTTACCTTGTTTCATTTTATTAGTTCTTGTTGTAGCATCTGGAACAATTCTGGCCTTACCAAAGTTTTGGTTTTGTAGAGGATTAACAGGAAGATGGCTATTTTACTGAGATATTTGAGAGGCAGTGAAACAAAATGTTGAATGATATTATCTTTTATTTTGTGGTATGCAGCATGTTTTCAGAGATTAAAAAAAATAAATTCCAGAGATTTGTGGAACTAAGGATATCTTTCAAACAAAGGTTATTCCTTTCCAGTTATATAATGCCTTTCATAGATGCGAAACTGGTTGTGCAAATTTCCCAAATATTTCTGCCTACAATAATCTAAATGCTTGTATGCCTCAGAGGGATTCAGCAATGTGAGAACATATGCCCAGAAGAAGCGGGCTGTCTCTTAGTAATACTGACTAATGCTATTAATACATCATTCAAGAAAATTAAGAAGCTGGGCTATAATTTTTTAGAAAGACTTTTTGACGGATGGTCATTTTATTGTATATTTTCTGGTAAGTGGTAGGTTGTTTTCTTCAAAGGAGATATTAATTATCTCTCTGAGGAAAGGATTCCCTGCTCCTAGCTGATTTTCTTTGACAGGTTGAACAAAACTCTGAGTGACATCTGATGGCTAAAATGCCCTGTATTTCTCTTTCTATTGTTATGTAAATTGAGAGAATGGGGAGTGAAATCGAGAGAATTCTAGCTCCACCATCACATGTTTCTGCTGACAGAGGGAGGTCATCTTGCATCCTTCTGTATGTGATCCTTCTGACTGAGACATCACCAGAACATGGAGTTGACATCTGGATTGACTTTGAATACAGTCTGGGAAAAGGAAGGAATCATTTGGGGTTGCTAGTACACTGTCTTGGTCATAATTAAGAAATGTTGAAGCTAAATAAATAAATCTTTACCTTTTTTTCTTGGTTGTTAAAAGGAATGCAAAGGTTTTTGCTGAAGTCTAGCCACTATGTGTAGACATAATTGTCCAAATGTTGTTGCCTTTACTCAACAGTTTTTGAAATTTCTTTTGGCTCTCTGCAGACATGCAGTGAGGAGGACATACAGATACCACTGTCTGTGCCTTTACTCTGTGTACAGTTCTGATGTTTTATGAAACCTTGTTACCTGTGGTAGGACATGATCTGAATGTAGATTTTCCCAGTTCTGTTGGCTAAAAGGGAAAGATTGTTTCAGGGGGCTATTGTAATCCTGGAAATGTAGGTTCTCATATTTTTTAGGAAGGACCAGATGTAACCTAATGGGTTTGAAAGACTCGTTTCTCTGGAACTGTAAATCCCAAACTCAATCTAGATCGTAAACATGGATGTGGAAACTGTCTGTTAAAGCCTGAAAATGGAGAATTTGTGGTATTTTATACTTGGTTTTAATATCCCAGAGGGATTCTCTTCTGCACTGAGGGTGGGTGGTAGACAAATAACTGCTCTGCTGCTGCTATTGTGTGGTCTAGGAGTGTGATAACGTTGAGCGTCACGTATGTGAGTAAGCAGTGGAATCCAGTTTTTATGTTGCTGGAAGGTGGTGAGTCCCTCTGAGATCTGGTCTGTGGAAAATAGCCTTCTGACCAGTGATCTTTCATTGATTAAAGCAATTGTTCCATGTCAGTTTGGGCTCTTGTTATGGTAAATGTATTTGAAGTGGTCTCGTGTTTAGTTTTTCCTTCTTTAGTACTAGCATTATGTAGGGGAGTATAGTTTGCAGGGGTAGCATTGGGAATTAAAGGACATATCAGAATTCAAGGGTAAGACGAAATTCTGACTCTCTTTAAATGCTGAACTATTTGGGAATGGAAGTTTCTGTACTGATTGGAAGTCAATATACAAGGAAGTTAACAAATCTGAAGCTTATTTTTTCCTCATCTATTTTCATCTCTATGTAAAAGAAATGCATGGGAGTTGTGCTTCAAGAATATTAATTTTGGATAATATATTGGATATATATTTTATAGGAAATAAATAGCAGATCCTATAGACTCTGTAGATTTGCCCTAAAGATTTTAACAAGCACAGGATAATGGACATCCAGGACTGTCTGCATTCTGTTCCTCCAGTGTTCTTCTGGTTCTACCCTCAATGCAATACAGAATTCCCATTTGCTAGTAAAAATATTCCACTCAATCTGCAAGTAAATGTAGGCAAATATTTTTTATCTGAATGTTTTGAAACTAACAGCTTTTTATGGAAAGGGCAGAGCTGCTGACCAGTATGCTGTTGCTTTGATAATGCTTCATGCCTTAAGAGATGTCAAATTCTATGCCCTTCTGATTCCCTTGATATCTTGAGTCACAAAAACCCAGATTTGAATTTTAATGTAGCATGTCTCATCACTAGGACGGGGGCTCTGATGGTCTTACTGAGCTTCGGCGTTTCATGAATCTGATATTGCTGTTCCTCAAAAAGTACTCATTGAATCACTGCGTTTGTAGGTCAGATTTCAGCCAGCTTTTTGATAAACTTACTTATTCACCAGTTCTTTGAAGATTAAGGTGCCTCCCGGAGTGGGAAGAGTGTTAGAATCTATCCATAGAGTAATTGCAACTCCTGTTCTGGTGAGTTCAGAAGTTTCAAAAGCCTTGCCAAACGTAATACGGTTAAGTGTTTTGGATGGCGTGTTTCCTATCAGAGGATGATTATTTTTTATGAACTTAAAGGTGCATTCTACTTTTGGTTTTGTTATTTCTGTAATAGAAGAACATTGTGTGTCCTAGTAATAGTCTTTATTATTACTGAAAAATAGTTGTTTGTAAGAATAAGATCAGCGTAAGTGATATTCCATTGTCTCAAAAAATTTAATGGGTGGCTAAAATAGAACAGGAAGTAGAAGTGTAGGGAGCCTCAAGGTATGTTGAACCATGAAAAAGAAGAATCTCTGAGAGAAAAACATGGTGTTCTAATAGCTAAACAAGTGGTTAGTGGTTTCATGTTTTAGCGTTCAAGCATCCCATTTAAAACACTTTTTTGAAGGGCCTGATTTTCAGGACTTCTTTTGAAAGTAGGACTTGCTAACGCCTCACCTCAGGTACTCAGCATGACTAGACGCTTTTGAGAATGTAGGGCTCAATGCCCCATCCAACAGAGAAACTAAAGTGTTGCCCCATATGCAATCTGTTAGCCCACAGAAAATGCAAAGTGATTTTACTTAGTTTAGCTCACAATGAAAGAGATTTAATCTGAGTGATTTAAGATTTTCTGTAGTACTAGCCTGTTTCTGTGGATAGTGCAGGGGCCTGGCTGACAAGAAATAACTTGTTGAATTTTAGCTGCTTGATTTTATCTTTAAGCCAGTGGGGCCAATAGGTGGCAACATGGAAAACTAGTTGAACACACCTAGGCAAGAGGTGTAAGTTCACACATTTCAGAATAATTATTTTAAAGAAATTGCTAAGCATGAGATGGTATTTTTGAGTGGGCCCTGTGAAGAAGTGCTAAAGCATGTTGCTGAAGATACAGAGAAACTTTAAAAAAAAAATTGTGGCATTCTCCTTTAGCTGCATTTACTATTAGATTTGCTGTTGGTAGTTTAATGCATCCTAAAGTTGTTTGCTCTTTCTGAATAAAAATGAAAATAAGAAAAAAGTTCATTTGTAGTTATTGCTGTGAAACTAAGCAATGGAGTTTAAATAGAGAGTGTTCTACCTATAGAAACTTTTTAAAAATTAACTTTTGTTTCTGAGTTATGATACAAACAGGATAAGCCAGTGTTAGAAAGGAAAAATGGAGCCAATAAAGAGGGTTTCTGATTATAATAGCTTGTTTCTGTTTAATATCATTGAGCAGGATGAGGTTTTGCAGAGTTTCTCATGGAAATAGCATCCACAGTACTAAAATGATTACCTCATTCTTAGTACCAGTGCCAAGCACTTAGCCCCACAGTGAACACACGGGGTTGATTTTCAACATGAAACAAGCCAGAAGTGTGGAATGACATTTTCAGGTGACAGTTATGGTTCTATTGCCTGTAATTAGCACCTCTTAACATGCAAACCTGCCTGTGCCTTTTCCAGGCTGTTGAAGCTCAAATACGAAGTTTTGGACAGACCCCTTCCCAACTGCTCATAGAACCACATCCTCCAAGAAGTTCTGCCATGCAGGTGGTAAGTACCACGTTAACTCGTTGTGACCTGCTCTTTTGTTCACTTCCTTTGTTGTCTTAAAGTTACAGAACCGGCCACTTCACTTCACTTTTATGTGGTCGTGGAATTGCGTTTATTAAAAACAGCAGATGAGTTACGATTTTGTAGAACTGAGGGTGTATGCAGTGCTTAACTATCATTTTATTTATTGCTGAAAGGATTGTATTGATTTCTAGTACAGACCTTTTTTGTCAGTGTAATCTAAGAACACTTCATCAGTTGATTTTGTTAATACCATACCTGTACAGGTGAGAGCCAGTCATCACGGAGACAATTTAGTTAAGCTTTGGCAGATTCCCCAAGAAGCATGGATTTAGGAGGTGGAACTTCCTTGTCTTTTCCCCCAGGCATAGGTTTTCCCCTAAACCCAGGATTACTAGGAATTCATGAGCTGAAACTTACATAGCAAAGAATGTGACTAAATGTGTTTTGCAGTAAAGCCAGGGTGATAAAATCCAGGCAGCAAGCATTAACATGCTTTCCCTTTTACCTCTACTTGTGTCTAATATAATTTTATTATACAAACTATTATTTTATTACTGATTACTTTGCATATCATGTTGTGTGCAGTCTGTGGGTCTAAAACATCATTTGTGTTGTCATAGTTCCAGAACTAAGTACGTTAAGTGATACTCTGACAAGTGGAGTAAATGGTCTGCTAATTCACAAGTTTTTCAAAAGGTTACATTCCCTTATTGGTAAGATGGACATTTTACAAGGAAATATTAAAAACAGACATTTTCTTCCTGTATGTTCTGTAAGATGTATGTTCCACTCAAGCAGATGCAGGTTATTAGATTAAAAACATATCTGAAGTGCAAAAGGTTTTAGAAAAATTACACAACAATCTGTAATGTCTCCAAAGTAGCTTACAAACCTTGTGATGTAGGCGTCTAAGAAATGTAAACTTTCTTCTCAAATTGAGCTACTAGCCTTTCTCAGAGATGTCGTGCGTTGTGCACGAGACTTGCTCAGCTGACAGTCCCCCCCCATCCCCACCACCCTTCCTGCAGCCGGTACATACTACGCTTTGACAGCTGTGCTGTAGATGTGCTCCTGCCCTGGGATCCCACGTACTGGATGGACAGAGCTGATTGTGCTGATTTGTGATCTGCTGGCCCGTTGCACCTCCCACACCGTGTCCCAGGGCTGCAGACCTCCGCAGTGACTTGGGCGTGCAACCCCACGGGGTTGTCTCTTTCACAGGGCTCTCCCCTTCGTCGGGGAGCCCAGGCGCCGTCATCATACAGCTACACGCCATCTGTGTGTCCGTCTGTCACGGTGCCGTGCACTAGGCACTTGCCCTAATTCAGAGGGCTTTGTTTCAGGAAGAGGAGGAACTTGAGAAGTTGATTGTTGACATGTTTGTCAGACCCATTGTTATATAAATAAATTTGATGCCAGGAAGCAGTCTGTGTGGTTTTATCATAATATTTTTCATGACGCTGAATTAGTAAAGATTTAATGTGTAATGGAAGAAGTTAAATTCTATGAAGTTAACTGTTTCTAGCTCCTGCGGGTTTTTTGGACTGAGGTACATACAGGAAAAAACCCTTAGTTCTCCACTTGCTCTGACCAGTTTTGTGGTTATTAATACATGATTTTACGATAGCACTATATTAAGTGGTTTTAAAAGGAGTATTTCTGGAGCCGAAACACAGTAAGGTTGTTTTTCCTGTCACAATTTTGAATTATTTCTAGTCGTATTATTTACTGAGTTATCTGTTTTCTGGTGTGTGTGTGTGTGTGTGTATGTATGCCTGAATACAGCTGAATTGAAAGCTACCACGTGCTGTGTTAAGTGCACAAGCCATAATATACACCAGGTGTAGTAATTAGCAGTCACACGAAGGCTGCCTATTTGTCTGGGTTTGCTGCTGTTGCTGTATCCCCTTGTGTTTTCAACCATCAGATAGCTGGATTTAATTGAGGCCACATCAGATGAGGCATTACTGACACCTTTAATTGAATGAGCATCCAGGGAGGATTAACTCATAATATTGATTGGCTTTTAGCCACTTGCTCAGAAGGGTGTCTGGGTAGCTTATTAGTTGCTTTTATTTACACCTTTATGCAAAGACTGTAAATAGGAATTCATAGAGCAATATGTTTTTCTAAGTACTCTTAATAACTTTTTAAAAAGGAGTGATAATAAAAATGCAAATGTATTTAATTTTTTTATTAGTTCTGTATAAATATACATTAAATGTATGCACTTACATACATATATATGTAATGAAATACTGCAGGTGGAAAATAGCCAAGAACACTTCGTTAGTGTTCTAATTTAGTTATTAGAAAATTACAAATACTAGAGCAATATGGCTACTGGTGACTAGGATGGTTGTCTTTTTTTTAGGTACACCACACAATTACAAACTCATTAAGTTTTGGTATTCCTCCTTATGTTTGCTATTTGGATCTAAGGTCCTCGATACTTTGTTTTGGCATTTGCAGTATTGTTAGAGAGCTTAGTTAAAAAGTTATTAAACTTTTCAACTTATTAAATTAAACCCCTAAAACCTAAAAATATTATGTTGAGAATGAGAGTCTGGATTCATTCTCTCCCTTTAGTATTTCTAGAAACAACGCAGGGTAGTGTCTGTAATCCCGTCCACTTTATATTCTTTACAACTGCATTTAATTATGTTTGTCCTTTGAAACACATTTGCAGAGAAGTCTTCTACTTTGCATTCATAAATCTTATTTTTGTACACCAGAAATATACACAGAACATATATCTAGTGTATGTGTGTATCTGTTTATTTTAATGTGCTTTCATGTTCTCATCTGGCTTGTAAAGAATTGCAGTCTGCCAATTTATGCAACTTGAGACAATCTCTGGGAGCAGGAATTTCTTTTGCTCACTTTTTTTTTTCTTTTTCCCCTCCCTCTTAGTTTGGCATTGCTTTCCTTGACATACTATCTCTGCAGATATGAAGGAGAATTGTTTTGGCAGAGATAGGCGATTGGAAACTTTTAGTTTAATCTGCTGTGATCTGTAGCAAATGTTGTATATAGACACCCCATGCTCAACAAGGTGCTCAAACTAATAGTGTACATGAAGGTTTTTCTACCTAAAATGGTTGTTTCCACAAGCTTGTCCACTGTTACTGCATTTGCTTTTCACTGCAGCTGCTATTGGATCTTGTGTGTTTTAATCCAATCTTCCTTCTCTTGTCCTGTCTTCTTTTCTCCTCCCCATGTTTTCTTTTCCCGTGTTATTTGGGTTCTTGTTGTGTGCACTCAACAGTATCTCCTCCTGCAGAGTCCATTGATGTTCACAGACCAAGCTCAACAGGACGTTATCATGGTTCTAAAGTTCCCGTCCAACTCCCCTGTCACCCATGTAGCAGCCAACACCCAGCCTGGTCTGGCCACTCCTGCTGTGATCACAGTTACTGCAAATAGGCTATTTGCTGTAAACAAGTGGCATAATCTTCCTGGTAAGTAAATTAAAGTAAGTAGCCTAAGAAACCACTGCCATCAAGCAGTACTTCTGTGGTCTGTTTCCAAATTTGCTGCAGAACCGTTTTAAATTTAAAGTGTGAAGAGCAGGCGCAGTTTATTGACACAGCATGCTCTTCACATGTGAACTTAGTTTCTCCTTAAAAAGGTGATCTGAACTATTGTGTAGTAAGATGTGTAGCACCCAAAAGGTCTGTAACAACAGTATGTTGCTTTCCAGGCCATTAGGCGCTATGCAAGAAGACAAAACCAGTATATCACTATTTGATCGTAATACGGTCACACTCTTCCTCTTGAATTTGTTTTTCAGTCAGATGGAAGCCTGAACTGTTTCATTGTCAAAGACAAGTTTTGAAGCACGTAGAACTTGCCTGAAATCTTTTCTGCTTTTTTCTAGTTGATTAAGAACACCATGTTCTGATGTTAAAAGCACTCAATGAGAAGTAGAAGATAAAATATATAGGAAGTCTGTGTCTTCTGTAACTTGAACATCCCAAAGTTACTAGGTGCTTATGTATTTTTCAATATGAAAGGAAACCAACATATCCATTTGCATAACAACCAATCAAATGAATTCTCAAATCCAACACATTTTTAAAGGATAATACAGTCATTCTGTTTTCAGTTCTAATGTTCTCTCTCATCCTCCTTTCCCTGACTGTAAGAGTCTCAGGCCCAAGCAGTGAAAGATAGTTTTAGTTCAGTGCTATGCAGTAAATCTGGTCGAAGGCTTTTGAAGAAAGGGGAAAAAAGAGCTTGTACTCAAATAACTTAAATAGAAGATATTTGCACTGGAGTAATACTCACGTCACTGGAATTCCTACTAAGAAATCTGGACCCATGGTCCTAGATTGCATTTTGAAAAAAGCCAGATGACTCCCACACTTTTTCCTAATTCTTACAAATTACCTCTCAACATTGTACAAATGGAAACATCTATGTATTATTTCACCCACCCAAGAAATGCTAAAAAGGAAGGGGGGAAGCGAGGCTTGTCTAGATAACAAGTTGTGAGCAAGAACTATTTACAGGGCTCTTGACATTTGTTTGAAAGGATGGCAGTGTCCTCTCATACCTTGGATGTGTGACCTTGAGCATATAATATTCAAGGTTTTTAAACAAATAGCCTTTGTGGACGTACGACACTCTTGGGCAAAGAAGAGGTTCAAATGTGGTAGGAGTTGATTTTGATTTCCTCCTAAGTCTGCTGGTTGATGATCTGTGAGCAAGCAACTAGTTGTTGAGCGCAGTAATCAATTATTCTGAGTTGAACAAAACCTTCAGATTTTGGTTTTTCCCTCACCTCTGAAAGGGAAAACAGTAAGTTGTATTTTTTGAGTCACTATTTTTTCATTAAGAGGCATTTTATACTTGTCTTCTCTTTACAAAGAACTCAAGAAAACCTACAGTTCAAAACAAACAACAGCCAACCAAACAAAACCAAAACCCAGCAAAAACCCACCTCACGCCACCTCTTTGAGAGCACACTGATCAGCTGCAGGCTATTAATGGAATACTATGCTTAAGATACCTGGGTATGGACTCCTGAGTCTAGCCTTCACTATTGTTGCCTTCAAATCTTATACCAAAATGGGATCTGCTAGGATTAGAGGGCAGGTATCATTACTACTCCATATGTCCTGCTGTGGGCTTAGCATTGTCTTTACTAATGAGGCATCATGACAAAAATGTTAAGTTGCCAAGTGACCAGTTGTCACCGATGTGTAATTAAAAATCTTATTCCTGCTTTTGTATATGGGTTTAGTGGCTTTCTGACACCTAATGGCCCTGTACCCAACCGGGTGCCTCCATTTTGTCATGTGAATTTCATGTTTTGTTCTGTGTTAGTGTTTCACTGCAGCAGAACTTTGACTTCCCAATTACTTATGAAACCCTTCTGTTGATACTAGTTTATATATTAAGCTATGGATGGTAGATAGAAAAATCATAGGTGTAAGTATTGAGCCATTATTTTTTGTTCTGCTTCCAAGAATGTCTTGTTGGCTGTTTGGGGAGGTGGGGGGAGTTTGTTCGCTTGTTTGTTTGTTTTTAGTGAGGCTGTGGAAAAAAAGGCACCTTTTTTTTTTAAAAAAAAAAAAAAAAACACTGAAGGAAAATTCAGGAGGTAAACATTTCAGCGGTATGCCAGGTGCCCAGATGAAATGTAGGCTGGCAGAATTATATATTAACTTCTATGCAAACTTGCAAATAAATGGGTTTTGGTGATGGATGAACCCTTAAATACTGGATGACTATGAGATTTCCCTGTCTGCATCATAAACTGACTTTTTAAAAAAAATGTCCTTTGTGCTTCACTTGTTCAAAGCAGTGCTTAAAAAGTAAAGAGGAAAATAGTATTTGCTACAGTCAGCAGATGGTTGTCACATTTTGTTTTCAGTGCTCTTTACCACTTAATTTTGTTTTGTTGCGACAGGAGAGGTTGCCAGTAAAGCATCTGCTAGAGCTTATGGCTCAGGACCGGAGCTGCTGCTGATGGCATACATTCAGAATAGCACTAATCTAAAATAAATGTTTAATAAGCAGCCCGTGAAAGCACCTGGAATTTTTTTTTTTTTAAATTCAATTGATGCAGAAGAATCTTGAGTCGTTAAAAAAAAAAAAAGGACATAGCTTTGATTTATAAAATGTATGTGGTTCATGTATTAAAAAAATGCAGAGTTTTAAAATCTTCTTTCCTGAATTCCAGCTCATCAAGGTGCTGTACAAGACCACCCTTACCAGCTGCCAGTGGAAATCGATCCTCTCATAGGTCTGTCACTTCCTTCTCTCTTTGCGATTCATTAAGCTCTGTATGGTGGCCCTGAAGTGTAGATTACGGTTGTTTTTCACTTGCTGGTTGCTGGGAATGGAATTTTCCTGATAAACCATTTGCATGCAAATTGGAATGCAATGAGCTGTGGCTATGCTGGTATTTCATCAACTCCCCCTCGTTGGTTTGCCTAATTTGAACAGGCCTAGGACGCGTGTCAGTGAAAATTAATATGGATGCTGTAATAATGTGTGATTGAGAATGTGCATGAAGTACTGTCAGGATAATATTGGATCTTTTCATCACTCAGACTTGTTGATGAGCAGGAGCGAGGCACGTTATGATGAATTGGTGCACTGGTAATGTGATGGAGCTCCTTTGCTGAGGAAATTTTCATAATAACAGTGGGGTTCTTAACTGCACCGTGTTGTGAAAAATAAAACCGTGGTGCCAGAGTTTCATCATTAAAGGAGATCAATCCTTTCTTCGTAGACCTGCTGTTCAGGCTGAGGGGATTAATGTGTAATTGCAAAACGGTTTCAAAGTTGAAATACATTGCCCACTCCATTTTAGTATTGAGATATTAGTACTCATTTTTCAAGGGTATTACATCTTTTGATCAGCATCACTAGTTAAATTTGTGTATGTTTTTCTTTTATTAAAAAGGGGTGGAGGAATGTCTCTAATGACTCAGTGTAATAGATTCGATTCATGACTTTTTATTATAGAGGTTTATTAGTTTAAATAGAGCTGATTTTTCTATTAGCATAGTTAGAGTTTGGTAAGTTCTTTCATTACAGACTCAACTTTGGAGAGTGCATACTTGGACTATAATTCAGGAGCCTGTAGCATGGCAAATGGAACCTTAAACATGATCAAAAAATGAAGAACTCAAAACAGCCTAACCCCAAAATACAAACTAGTTTTAGGAGAGTTCACTGGAGCAAAGACAACAGAATTTCCCCCCCCACGCCCCAATTCTTTTAGAGTTCAAACTTAGCTCTGTTTTTTAAACTGCCCATTTCAGGATAGTAGTTTAAGTCAAAAAGAAACGAAGTGGCCAATTATAGAGGCATGGAAAAATCAGAGCAAAAATGAACTTGCCTGGATAGGTTAGAATGACAGGTCGGTCAGCCAGTGAGAATTAATTACAAAACTAATATGCATATCACAGTAGGAACTGCATTGTATTGGCCTGTAGATACAGACTGTTGCTGTGTAGCCATTTTGCTGGGTAAGCTCTATGATAATTAAATCAGGAACAGAGTGGGCATATTAAAACATTTTATAGAGCTGATAAAATTAAAATGTTCTTCCAGAGTTTTAAAAATCAATTTCTATCTGAATAATGCAATACTTATAATTTATAATGAGGAGGACATGTGCTGTAACTCTCCTTTCCTTCCTGAAAAAGATTTTATCCAAAAAATGTTTGTAGCAGGCAATGTATATTCTGCTTTAAAACCTGCTATCAAGTGGATCTTAAAAAATATAAACAAACATCACAGAAAAAACAAAACAAAACAAAACCAACATTGCATTGGGCCTGTCTGATGATTTTTCTGCATATTGTGAGGAACATTAGGAAGGAAATAAAATTTTTATTTTCATTTTTCATAATTTAAAAATTATAATTCCATTTTCAGGCTTGCCTTTAATTTACAAAATACTTTGACTTTTGTTTGGTATAAACACCTTTAAATTAATATTCACAGTTCTGAAAAATGGTTTCATATTCTCTTCATAAAATGGATCTCAAATCAGCCTTGTGATTACACTGGACATAGTTTAAAAGGTTTAAGGGTTTCTTTGTCACTGTTAAGTAGCATCACTGGGTACAAGCAAGTAATTATGTAGATAATATTAAAGGTTTTTAATTGTGGCTAGACACATTTACCTGGAAATGGCACCTAAGAGGACCACAAAATTACACTTTTATGGTTATAGTAGGAATCTTGTTGCTGTCTTAGTCATAAGGAGGGATTCCAGCTGTCCTCATTTTCCAGTTGCGCAGGAAGATGTAAAATTGCAGTGTCTGATATGGCATGGGTCCTAGACCTCTTTTTGAAGTGAGGTTTTTTGAAGGTCTTAGCCACACGGAATGTGTCGATCTGCATGGGTTTTCGGGGGGTTCATTTGCCTTTATTTTGTCATACAGAATGCTTCACTGCGCATATATAACACGTTGTTGTTACTCTTTAAGTGGTCCCAACAGCGGTCAGCGCCCTGTTAGGTGTTACCTGCAGAGCAAGTGGCAATACCTTGCTAAATTATTTGCTACCCATATGGACAAGACAGTATCAACATTTTAAACATAGCTACAAACATAAATAAATCAAGGCTTTGATATAGAGTGAATGGAATAAGCCCAAGGCTTAGGGGATAGCTAGCCCCTGAGAATGGAAAGAAGTGAAAGAACGAAGAGTAAAGAAGAGCACAAGACCAGGACAGAGACAGGCCCAGGGGACCGCCTGGAATGGAAGTAATGGTGGTCCAAGCAGTCGGCAGACAAATCCAGGCCCAGGAGAACTTATTCGCCTGGAATGGGAGTCAAGTTCCCTCGGGAACAAAGCACATTAAAAGTTCTTCCTACAGCGTAGGATTTTTATGAAATATATATCAATAGGGACCCATATATATATATACACACACACATCAATTAATAAGGACAAAATATAATGTGAAAAATTTGTTCATTAATTGATTCCTGTCCAGTCTGTGGGTTCATAATGCCAGATTATCTGGGGAAATAAAACAGCAGGTGATCAAAGCAGGGTAAATGTTTTCTCTCAACCCTAAAGGAGACTGTGGAGATAAGCTGGTGAATTTTTGTGCAATGCTCAAAAAAGTGTGAAATGGTAGTCATGTTTACTGCAGTTGTTCTTTTTTTTAAATTACAATGCTTGCAATGAAATACAACTTGTGTACAGTTTTTAAATCATAATTCCATTGTCTGCTGCATTTGAGCCACTGTATAGTATGTATGTACTGTCTTATAATTACATTCCCTTCATTTGTTCTTAATTTTTAATTTCCTATAGTAGAAGAAGGCTGGAAGAAAGCTTATTACATTTTTATGTATCATTCCTTTTTGCAATCTTTCATTTATATTTGTCAGCTGCATTTGACTTAAAGAAGGGATTTCTTCTATTTCACAATATATACTACAAGGAATTAGCATTGTTCCCAGAAGTGTAATGAGTATTTTATAGTAAAAGTAGAAAGAAAATGTTCCTGCCACAAAAAACCTAAGTAACAGCAGTGAGGAATAGCTTTGGTGTGAACGTAAGTTTCTAAAATGTGCTTTTCTTCTCTGAATGTGGATGCTAAAATTTCTTGATTTGTGTGTCTTTCTGTTCAGCCAGCAATACAGGTATGCACAGAAGGCAAATCACTGACCTTTTAGACCAAAGCATTCAGGTACATTCCCAGTGTTTTGTCATCACCTCTGATAATCGTTACATCTTGGTCTGTGGCTTCTGGGACAAGAGTTTCCGAGTTTACTCTACTGACTCAGGTAATGGGAATATCCTAAAAGATTTTTCTGTTCATTGTCAACCTACTGTTTCAAATAAAGAGAGAATGAGGCATGGGGGGAGAAAGTGGAATATGTATTTATTCCTCCATTAATAATATTTGTCAAATCTTTTCTTCCCTACTGCTACTGTGTATTGTCTGCCATCGTTTTTGTGGAATGATGGCAAATGTAAGACAAGGAGCTCTTGCTTAGCCATAGCATCCACGCTTCAAATCTATATGACAGGCATGCCTGTTCTCACACTGTAGTTTCCACAAGTAAATGAGTTTTTGTGAAGCTTTGCATACCAGGAGAATTAATTGTTCTTAGGGTGCTTACTTGAATTTAACTCTGGTTGGTTTTTACCACCAGAGAATTTTTTTAGAGGGAATAGAGGCAAGCACCACAGAGTAAGAACAGAAGTCCTGAAATCTGGTGAAAGAATACTTATTAAAGCCTTTGAAAGCTATGCTGTAATAGAAAAATTGATTTGGAGCTACTGAATTCTTTCATATAACATAAACTGATCGATATATAATGGGCAGCAGTTAAATTAGTCTGTCAGCTGGCGTGTATCCAAAGCATTGAAGTCATGCATGTGTCATGCTAAATAGAAAAGAATCTTTCAGTGTAAGAGCTACAGGAATTTAAAAGCCATGGAGCCCCAGAAAAAAATAGGTATGATTTTTTTCCCTTTCATTATCTTATAATGGGAATAGCGACCTCACTGCAAGGTACTTCTTTGGGATTAATGACCCAGTGTGCTTAATGTGTGTGTGCCATCAAGCTTTCCAGTAGGTTATTAATGCCTAGGGAATATGCTACATGTTTGTCATCAGTTCTTAAATATATTAGTTAACAGTGTTTTTCACACTTGGCAAACCAAAATATTTAACAAAACAGGATGGTCTTTAATGAAATTCTGTTAAGACTAGATCTCATGGCATATTTTTGCATATCTGTCATTTTTGCAATTTTAAAGAAGTTCCATTTACTTCATATTGACTGCCTACAATTCATTATACAGACATCTTGTTAGACCCTTCTTAGTTAAATTTTCTCACTGATGAAAATAAATTTACATAAAACTGTGAATTTAAAGGAGATATTCAGAAAAGATAGCTGGCAGTAATAAATATTCAGTGTATATTCTTGATTTATATGAATAGAGAACTAATTCTTTTATGTCAAAGGATGTATTTTACTTTAAAGCTGTGGAAGAAACTTGTATGATTTTGGTAGCTTTGTCCTGTATCAATCTGAGCTACAAATACCTCATTATGTCCTCTATGTGTAAGTCAGATACACCAGGCATCTCTTTACTACCGTAGCTAATTATGGTATAAACCAAAATACTGTTGTCAAAAAGTTGCAGAAGATTTGTGTCTTTTGTGTGTCTCCTGTTTGTCAGTGTAGCAACTCTAGCTCTAGTTTAAATCAAGCGAATTCAGATGTAGTTTATTTTGCTTCAAATTAAAATAAGAATATAGCAGTGAAATACTTACTCTGAAATAGGTGGAACAGCAAGGGAAAAAGGTGATGTGATCAGTAATGCATAATGGCAAGTGATCACGAGTGTTGAATTCAATTCTATTTTAGCACTTAAACAAAAAGGGAAGCTTTTTCCTATTAGATTTTGGGTTTGTTTGGGGTTTTTTAACAGGAAATACTTTTAACATAAATCATGGGTTCTCAGCACAGCTAGTATAGCAGACACACAATAAAACCTTCCTCCAGCAGTGGGAATGATTTCTAGACAGCATTTTAGATTCAGTAGTGCAGAGACTTGAGTCTTTTCTTTTAATTATTCGTAGCACAGCTGTAAGATAAAACATTAACTAGAAAATTTGTTCTGTCAAAAAGGGATAACTGAGTGCATATGCTAAAGTTTGATATTACTGTATAGAGAGGACAACTCAGAGGAAACAAACAAAAAAATTGAGGAACTCCTATGAGATTAATGATTTTATGGTTTTTTTACTAATATGAAAGAGCAAAAGCTTATTTCTTGTTTTGATGGAATTGATTGAACCTTAGCTGCACAGTAACAAAGTAAAACTAACAAGGCTTTGCATCTGCATGAACAACTGTCAAACAAATAGCCTTGAAAAATGTTTGTTTTCTAGAACAGAACCTATAAACACAGAATATAATTGAAAGAGAGATCACTATAACTCAGCGATGTTTATAGCATAAGCATGTGTTCTAAAACTATAAATCACCTCAGGTAGTTGAATACCTATGGCTATACAACTGAAAAATATATCCCATAATTAAATTATTCTGAAATCTAAACTATGTAATTGACAGCTTGCATTTTCAGGGAGAAACACACGCTTGGTAAGATGCTTTTGTATATTGCCAAAATGAGGTTACGCCAGCTGTGAGTGTTTCACTGCTCCTAGCTGTGAAGTTCAGTAATTTTTTCTGACTAAATCCATTGACCGGTCAGCATTGAGACGGGTAGGTGACCCTGCGGCACAAATTAAAGCCCTGGCGTGCAGAGGTGACCGCTATAGAACACTATTACAGACTCAGAGAGATGAGCGAATGACTTGATCCCCGAGTTACTCTCCTTTACAATACAAGGTAGATCTACACTGTAAGTGTACCCTGTAGGGTTTTGCCCCTTCCAGTTGGAAAAGGCTCGTGTGATAGTACTTCATCTCACAATTTCTCTTGGAGGTTTATACTTGCCTAATAAGTTTTGTCAGTGTTTTATTTTAAATACGAAGTACAGGTTTCTTTTAAATTGCATCATGTTACTCTATTTTTTCTTCATGCACTAAAGTAAGTAATTCCCCCTTCTTTTTTTTTGTAGATATTCATACCTCTCTCTTGGTGTTTTTTGGGGGTTTTCTTTCTTTGATTTTCTCCACTTTAATACAATTACATTCTTGATCTTCTGTTATAAATCAGGCTGTTAACGTTATTTTTGTTCTTTCCTCAGAAGCACTCCCTTAAGTCTTTTGTTACCATTAGTGTTATTTAATGGCTGGATAGGAATACAATGCTTTTGTAGTGCGTAGAACGAGGGCTATGAAATGTGTCATACTAGCTGTATCATATGATTGACTGATTGTTTTTAATTCATGCACCAAAATATTTTATTAAGATGTGGTTAATTTGAGTTCCAACACTGATTTGTGTTACTACTTGTCATGTTACTAGTTATTATTTTTAAACACTTTTTAGAACATTTTATTTCCAGTACAGTAGTTTGCATTTCCTTTTTCTTTATAGGCCTGTGCTGTCAACCCTCCATCACTCTTTTCCCCTTCTGTTCTTCCTTATTCTTAAGTCAGCCCAAAGTGCGTATGGATGCATGGTCATTTGGGCTGCGGATTCTGAGGTCACACATTAACGGCATCACACATCACACTTCCTTGCTTCATTGGATGCGGAATTTGGCCCAGCCCATCTTACCTGAATGGGCTGAGTAGGCACATAAGAAATGTGTGTGTGTGTGTCTTGTCTTGTCTCTACCAGATCTGCAGTTGCTAGGCTTCAGCAAACTCCAACGAGGTGGATATTTAGTGCTTACATTCTCATTTCGTAGGACCACGTACGCTGCTGGCAGGTCCAGAAAACAGCAGGAGACACGATGTGTTCGCTGTGTAGGAGCCAGCCTCTGGCAGCGTGGTCTGGCAGAGATCTGCTGTGGGTGACCTTATGTGTGTTTGCTCTCCCACATGCAAATCCACTATGCACACACTCCCAAATTTACATTTTTCTGAAAATATTGTCCTGCTTAGTTAAGGTTAAAAGGTAATAGTCATATTCATATTTATACAGACTCTTGAATGGCACATTTTTAACTACCTAGGCTTTCCTTTATCAGTGGTACAAGTGTTTGTCCTACATGCAATAGGTAAGAGAGTTTTTTCCAGGTCTGTCTTCGAGGTTTTTTGAACATTACAGAAATTCTTAAAAGGGAAGGATGCTGGTTGAAATAATGGGCAAATGTTTAAATGGTGATGGAAAGACTTACATACAAGAGTCATTGTTCAATTAAATCTCCTTTTCTCTGTTAAAGGAGATGCTCAAAAGCTGCATATGCTATACGCACATATATGCTCTCACATTACCAATTTCTTCTGGGTCCTAAATGTTCTGTAGCTTCTTCTGATTCTGTTTGCCACATCATCATCAGATTTGCATTTTTACTGTTACTTTCACCAATAAAGGTACCTTAAACTTGCTTTAGAAAGAGAATCCCCTCATGTTTCCTGTCTGTAAAGTGAATGTAAACATATAGAATTAAAAAAAAACTTTCTGGCATGACTGGCCTTTGAATAAAGTCTAATATTTATAGACTGTAAATATTTTTTGTATGGACTACTGCACTTTTAAGTAAGTTTCCACCAAATCAAGGGAAAAAAATAGTACTCTCCACTGTAGTTCTTTTGGGGACCTTTTTTTCATAAAATATTTCTAAAATACTTTACAATGTATTTAATTTGCCTTAGAATAAAAGCATAGTTTTAAAGCATGAAATTTTATGTGTTTCAGGTAAACTGATGCAAGTAATATTCGGACACTGGGATGTTGTAACCTGTCTTGCTCGTTCTGAGTCCTATATTGGAGGAAATTGTTACATTCTCTCAGGATCGCGTGATGCAACATTGCTGCTCTGGTACTGGAATGGCAAAACCAATATCATTGGTGATAACCCAAGAGGTAAGCAAAACCAGGAAAACCTGTTTTATAAGGATGTGGTCTAAAAATGTTTTGAGTGAATACTTTGCATGACAAAATTTTATGTAACATTAACGGCAAAGTACGGTGTTTCTTTTTTTGTAGTTGTGATCAGTTCTAGTTTAAAGAATTGAGAAAAAATAGTGCTTGCTTTGCAGCAAGCAAAGGGAATTTGGTTTTTATATTTTCTGTTCAGTCTGAGTAAATCTTTTTCTGTCACCATGACAATTTCACTATACCTGCATTTGAGTTGTTTAAAACAAAAAAGACTGGACGTTGCTCCGGTGCAGACTGTATTCTATGCAACTCTAATCTTATGCATATAGATTGTCACAGCGGTACCTTAGCTATCAATAGTGTTATGCAGACAGTGAATTTTAACTTAGACTAACGTCATTATAATGAGATGTGTAATGGCCTGAGCAGGATGCTTAGGTGAAAGAAGGACAGACACGTGGAATGGATTAAAGAAGCAAACTTAAAAGTTTTTTTCGTTTAACACTTTGGTAGGGTGCTACGTGCCTAATCCTTGCTCTCACGTACTAGGCATTTTAATTGGTTCCAGTGCAAGCAACAGGGCTCATACCTTATAACCAACCTAATAAGTCAGAGTAGCCCTGCTTCAGCCTAGTTAAGTTTTAACCCCTCCCCACCCAAATTCACCTTCACTTCCCAAAGAATTTAATCTCTTCCATCTTGCACTTTTTCCCTGGAAATCCCAGATCTTTTTACTCATGAAGATTCTCTCTTTTAACTCATGATTGTCTGTGGAAAACAATGAAATGCTATGACTGTTCAATCCTGCTGTGCCTGTATTATAGAACAGGAAAGGTAGAAAGTGATCTTGTTGTTATGCCAGTTTTGTTCCGCACACAAAATTAATTCCTAGTGCCCAAAGCAAAGAACGCAGCGGACATGCAGCTTGACAAAAAGCCCGAGTGAGCCAATGCACAGGAATAAGAGCCTTTTGAGACAGCTGGTGAGAGCTTACATACCTGAATAGAGGGGCGCATCATAGCCAAACAGTGGTCCTGTTGTCCCTGTTCAGCCGAAAAGAAAATGTCCTGACGAGAAGGAGTGAGAAGCAGTATATTCTGTCTGTCTTCAGAAGTGTGTTTGTTTGGTTTTCTGCCATATACTTAAGGTCGTCTCTGATCCTGTTTCTGTATTAGTAAAAACATACCTGCAGAGGACAAAATGGGCATCTGGAAAACAAGAAGTGTTGTTACATCTGTCATATTGCAATTATAACTGGAATACAATTTCACATAATGTAAACAATATCTAACATCTTCCAAGTGAATCAATTTGGTAAAGTTGTGTGTTCCATACTCAATCTGTTACTCAACTGGAATTACTTGAATTTGAAAAAAAAGAGGTGGTTTGACAGTTTGCATCCCGTGAACTACTTTGAAGAAGCACAATTAATAAATATCAGAATGAATATCTGAATTTAACTTGCAATTTATTTGATGTTGACTGCGAAAACTATTCAAAAATTGCACAAGATACAGAAATTCAGTTCACACAGTTACAGAATCTTCAGGCAGAGGATGAGAGCAAACTACACCCATTATCCTTCCAACAGTCTGATTGAAGAGGTGGGAGTTTTTCTGGGATGTGGCTAGCAGAATTTTATGAGCATCTTTAAATGAATATGGCTTCTATCGAGGGACAAAATCTCTGTTGAATACTTTATATGTATTTTGCAACCTGTTGGTTTAAAGAAAATGCAAAGTCTGCGCTATTTTTGCAGAGCTTGGAAACTCCAAAAAGTCTGCGAAAGGAACTTAAGAGCTTGACAGTCAAGTGAGCTTGTAACTCCTAAAGAGCAAAACTGCACTTTTGAGGAGAAAACCCTAAATATTTTACTGGTGTGAAGCAATGAATGTAGGTGTCTCCTTATAGAGCTTTCAAGGCCTGGAAGTGCAGCCCATCTTTGCAGATTCCTAGGCCTGTCCTGAGAAGTTCTTGTTGAGTATTTGCCAGGCTTGCCAGCTTTGTGAACAAGACCTTGAGGCTATAGGCTCCTTTATGATCTTAACAGATCACGTGCTGAGATTTTGTACCTAGTATCTTAGAATAGGTAGATTTTGTTATGATCTGTTGACTGCTCTAACGCAAATTTCTAATGTATTAAAATTTTGCAGTTTTCAAAGTTAATGCTGCGCTGTTTTAACTACTGTTTAAAATCAAACAATAGCTACCTGGTAAGTCTCTTTGCAGTCCTATTAAACTTGTACTTTTAGGGACATGCAATGGCTCCTATGTTTACTAGTTGCCATTATGTAGCCTTTTTTGCGATATAGCATGCCTGGAAGTCTTTGGTAGGAATTGGAATCTCATGGCACTATACATTGGCTTAGACATGTATATAGTAAAAGACAGCTTCTGCTTCAAAGAGATGGTAATCTGGGGGGTTTAATTTTTCCCAGAAATAGCTTTCTATAGGCATCTCTTTTCAGTCAAATTTTTTTTGAAAAGGCAAATGAAAGAGCTGTTTCTGCTTAGTTCTGATTTTGTCAGAAATGGAAAGCACCAGCAGACTTCTTGGGTTTGAGCCCTGTTACTGCATCTGTAACTTCCATCCATTTGTGGGATGCTAGATATTTAACTTGTCAGATGCCTTTTTGTATGTGAAGCTTATGATTTTTTTTTACTTCAAAATATAGTTTATTCATGGTTTCCATGAGCACTATTCATTGGAATTTTAGATACTCTCAAAGTTGATACTTCTTTCCTATTTTTTTTCTCTATTTAATTATCTCTAATTTCTGTCTTAAAATGGATTCACATCAACATGCATCCAATGGCACTGTACCAAATCATAATGCCAGAGTAGTTTCAACAAAAATAATCTAAACCAGGAGCATTTATTTCCTCCTTTCATAGTACCTGTTGCCTCTGATATACATCAGTCAGCAGACTAGTATGATCAAGCTACCCTAAATGCTATCCCATTGGGCACCCATTACTCCACCAGTTACATTTTATTTAGGTTCCTTTATCTGGTTTTGTTACTTTAGGAAGCACTGAGCTCTTGGTCTCCGGCTGCGTATATTCATGTTTTAGAGTGGTACTTAACTCAAGCTGACAAGCCAGGTGGGCTATGGCATACGTGATAAATAAGTGTTTTGTTTGATATTCTTTATCAAGGACCAACTGTAGTTCTGGCCAACTGGACTGTATGGAAAAATTCTTTACGCTTTTGGTTTAACAGAAGAAATATGTTACTGAAATATTCATTATTTACATTCTTTAATTTTTAACTTTTAAGCTGACTTCTTAAAGAAATTATACCTATGCAGTCTCGCTGTCTGTTTAGTTTCTCCCTAATAACTCTCAAATGCGTAGATCAATGTAAACCAAATTTGATGAATTTAAATCTCAAAGATATGAACTTCCTACGTGGGACACATCTGCTGGAAAATAGTTTTATTCTTCACAAAACAGCTTGATTACATTTAGGTTAAGTCCTTTTTTCCTTCTCAAAGTAAATCCTGAAATTCAAAAAATATTTCACCATGCTCTTTGATCAAATGTAGGGGTTTTTCTTTCTAAATTAATTGTTTTTGAAAATGTAGAAGCATGGCAGTACTTCACTTTGGTGCACAGGCCTTTTCTGATGCAGAGGCGTTTCTGTGGACAATTTCTGACCAAACCTAGGAATAATTCAGAACAGAGCAGGGGATCTGAAATAGTACTATCCTTTAGAATAGCTCTGAGCCATTTTGAGTTCACATTAATTAACATAATTTACTGTGGAGATGTAAAGTCATTTTGGATAGTGTAAGGGGCTTTTACTTTTCTCTCTTTGGCATGCGGCTTGCTTGGGGGAGGTAGGAGGGAGAGGGTGTAACCCTCCCTCTGGTACCTCTTGAAGCCCATGTGTGATCTGTATCACGAGGTTGGCTTTTGCATATTTAGAGGCTCCGATCTAATAGCAAGGTACCACTTGGGGACGTGACATTATGCTTCAGGACTTGTGTTCCTGAACAGGGTGGTGGAATGTGTAGAGGTTACTGGGAGAGGGCGGTGCACTAGCAGAAAGATGCCATGTTTTGCACTTGCCCAGCCTCACGTGATGGGGAGGCGAGAAGTGAGGGGTGAGGGGAGGAACTATGTGTGACGGCTGACAAAAGAGATGAGAGAATTCATTTGCATACAAATGGTGTGCATCACTTTCAGATCCCGCTCTCGCTTTGAAGCTCCAGTGGCAACTGTTAGTGTTTGGACATTTCCTAGGTTGAGGGATTGCATTTTACTTTGTAATCACAGAACCATAGGAAACAGGGCGGGCAGGAGCTTTGGTCACCTGATCTATCCTCTTATCCCAAAGAAGGCTTAACTACACCAAAAGCATTCTTGACTGATGTTTGTCCAACCTTCTGTTAAAAACTTTGGCAAATATATTTTTGGGCCTTAGAAGCCCTGTCATTAGCAGTCTTCTCCCAGTGTTCAGCCTAGTACTCAGTTCTTTTTTGCAGCAGTTGCGTTCTGTCATTTCTTATATATTTATTCTTTGTGTAAAGAACAGATTATTTATTTCCTCCTTGCAACAGCTTCCAGTTATTTGGATTACCGTGACCTGCAGTTCTTTGCTTCCAGCTTTAATAACCCAATTCTTTCTGTCTTTTGCCATGTTTTTCTAGACCTCTGATTTTTTGTGTTCCTCTCTCCTCTTCAGTTGGCTGTCTTCCTCAAAGTAGAACCAGCAATGCAGCTGAAGCCTTTCCAGTAATAAGTAGAAAACAACCTGTTTCACCGACCAGTACTTTTCACATCCCCATGGGATATCTGTTTGTTTCAAACCAGCATGACAGTGTTAATTCTTTAAGTGTATGAGCTAATATAAATTCTATTCTTTTCTGAAGAACCACCGTCTACTCAGTTCATTCTTCTCCTCTGTGTAGTTTGACTGTGGAACCTTGTTTTTAAACTTTCTGAATTGTATTCTTTTTAGACTGTTTCTCCAATTTGTC